TCCAGCATGATGCACAATCTGTTTGAATAAAAAAATAAGACTGCAGTTAAATTAAGAAATGATAAATTCTTGAATCATAAAAAGTTTCTGCACTCAGTATTTTTATTTTGTTGTCCATTACAGATATCTAAAAACTCTTAAAGGAATAGTTCACACACAAAAAATGAACAACCACAAGTAATCCACACCACTCCAGTTAATCAATTAACATCTTGTGAAACCAAAAGCTGAAACAAATTTATCATTAAGACGTGTTTAACTTGAAACCGTTGCTTCGAGTTTTATTTTAGGTTTTGATGTCCTTAAGAATATATATTTGCGGTATAAGCACCAAAAAGCATCTCAATATATTTTTACAGCTCCTCTCTCAGGAGCTCTGCTGAGCACAGGTCAATTTTGGCCTGTCTAATTAATATTCACGAGCATCTCTTCTGATTGGCCTGTTGTCACAGCGCTAGCTGGAGGAAGCAAAACAAAGGGGAAACTGGAGGCGGCCCATTCAAACCAGCGCAGATTCGCTACATGAGGAGCTTAAAATATCATCTTGTTGTGATGTTGGGTGCCAGAATTAGAATTAGAAATTGGATCGCATATCACACACACTGCACACATATAAGTTTCTCTGTTGGTATGGGTGAGTGTACATCAGTTTCATCACCTTAATCATGTGGTATTCCTCAAGGGTCTGTGTTGGCACCGCTTCTCTTCTCTCTCTATATGCTCCCATTAGGTTCGATTCTGCATAAATACAGTGTGTCCTTTCACTACTATGCAGACGATACACAGTTGTATTACACACACACACACACACACACACAGAGACACACACGCACACAGACACACACACACAAACACACACACACAGAGAGAGACACACACACACACACAAAACAAACAAACATACATATTGTTTTGTCAAATTTTTACTTTACAACCATTTTTACTTCACTGAAAAACGTTTGTCATTTTAAATGTAAAAGACTAAAAATGCAAAAACTTGTTAATTAACTGCGATTATTTGTAAATAATTTGTGAACTGTTTAATTGTTAATTATTTGTGAAAATGACTAGCCATTTCTGAGCCAAAAAACTTTTTCACTGCAGAGAAAAACTGTTATCCACGTTACACAGGTATAAAAAAGTATTCATATATAATATTACTAACATTATATTAGTTAACACACATTATATATTGTTTTACTGTTAATTTCAGTAAAATACATTTCACAGATTTATTATTTATTGGCTACTTTTAACTTAGGACACTCTTATTCACATAATTTCACTTTCATATTTGAAATGTAAGTGGGGTCTAAAAATCTGAGATCACTCAAAAACAATACTTACATTAGATATGATCAAAATCAATTCCGCTTTCACTTTAATTGTAATTCTAATTAACATTTTCGCTCTCTCTCACTATAAAAAATACTTATGAATGTTTTTGTGCTCTCAGAACCTGCAGTCAACGCAAAATACAGATCCAAACATCACGTGCTCAGCCATGAAACTAGTGTTTATTTCACTATTCCACAAAGCAATAATAAATAGGCTAAAGGCATTGCCACATTGCTTTCATTTATACAGACTTTAATAGCTTTATTTACAGATGAACTCTCATCTTTCGTTTATTTGCGTGTGTGGGTTTCTTCCAGTCTTGACTGTTTGAGATTAGCATCTATGAGTGAAGGAAACATTTCGCTTCAGTTTGACACCGGAGTTTTAAAATGTAATCCAGATGTTTTCCAGATAAAAGGGCCAATGATTGTGCAGGAGGGAGAATGACCGCAGTGCTGATTGGGCGTGTGCATGAGGGGGCGGGGCTAGAGTCAGATTGCAGAACCAATCAGAGGGAGATGATGATGATGATTATTATGAGAGAGAAAGAAAAAAGGCACATCCAAACCAAAATAAGTAAACAAAAGAAAAGAGAGAGAAAGAGATATAGAGGGGGAAAACGGTCAGTTCACCCAAAAATGAATGAAAATGTAAATTTTTCCCTCTCTCATGTTGTTCCAAACCTACGGAAGCCCATTTCTGCCACGGAATAAAAAATTAAGGTAATTGTGATTTTTTAAAAATCTCACAATTCTCACTTTTGTCCTCACAATTCTGAGTTTATATCACACAATTCTGACTTATGAGTCAGAATTATGCGATATAAACTCGGAACTATGAGATATAAACTCTGAATTATGAGACAAACTCTGAATTATGACAGAAATTATAAACAGAAATTTTGAGAAACTCAGAATTATGCGATATAAACTCAGAACTATGAGATATAAACTCTGAATTATGAGACAAACTCTGAATTATGACAGAAATTATAAACAGAAATTTTGAGAAACTCAGAATTATGCGATATAAACTCAGAACTATGAGATATAAACTCTGAATTATGAGATATAAACTCTGAATTATGAGATATAAACTCTGAATTATGAGATACAAACCCAGAATTATGAGATAAAAACCCAGAATTTTTAGACAAACTCAGAATTATGAGATATAAACTCAGAACTATGATATATATAAACTCTGAATTATGAGATACAACTCAAAATGGAAAGGTATGAACTCAATTTAGAGGAAAAAAATTATAATTGCGAGATATAAACTCAGAATTGCAAGGGAAAAAAATAATTCAGAGTTTACATCTCGCAGTTCTGACTTCAGTTTACATAACTGTGAAAAACAAAGTCCGAATTAATTGTTTTTATTTCATGGCGGAAACAAGCTTCCATACCAATCTGCATTAAACAAGGAAAACGGGTGGAGGTTTTTACTGCCCACTCACCAGCCACGTTCTGTGCACAGATACAGAGCAGCGTGAACATTCAGCTGAATGTCTCCTTGCAGAACACAAGTTTAGAACAACATAAAGATAACAGCATTTTCAGTTTGGGATGAACTGTTCCGAACAGAGGAATGGTAAAAGATGGATAAAGAAAAAGAGATTCATAGAGATGAAGGTAGTGTGGACTGAGGAGGAGGAGGAGGAGGAGGAGATTGGGGGTGGGATTGTGTCAGATAAGGTGCTTTGGCCCCTCAGGTTGGACTCAATTACTAAGCAACAGTTCTGTCGCTGACTCCACGTCCCAGGATTTCGACGACAACGCTGCTATTACGGCGTTCTGAGGAGAAGAGAACATCCACATGTCAGTGATTCTGAGTGGAGGAAATACTTGCTACACAAACATCATAAGCTGCATCACAATTACTCTCCTTCATAATAGTGTGCAAATTTACAAAATCACAGCACACATATGTATGTGCATATGCTTTTTGGACAAATATTTGACACAGAAGTGCTACAGAATGAGAAGTTTGTGATAATTATTTTCTAGCTTTGAAAAACTGCAAAAAATGTGATATACACAAATGTATGGAAGATCATTTCTGCCACAGAATAAAAAAAATAATAAAGGCAATTGTGACTTTTTCTCTCACAATTCACTTTTTTATCAGAATTCTGAGTTTATCTCGCAGTTCTGACTTTTTGTTTCCACCACAGAAAAAAAAAAAAAGTAAGGTAACTGTGATTTTATTTGATCTTTTACCGCACAATTCCCATTTGTTCTTGCAATTGTGAGTTATATTTCACAATTTATAGCACACGATTCTAACTTTTTTTGCAATTCTGAGTTTATATCTTGCAATACTGAGAAACAAAGCACAGGCTGTGAGCTATAAATTCAAAAATAGGGGGGAAAAAAAGGTCGAATTGAGAGATAAAATGTCGCAATTATGTTTTTATTTTGTAAAATAAGCTTCCATACAAATGTGATATCAATGTGTGTATTTACTCACTTTATCAAAGCCCATAGCGCAGAGTTTGTCTATTTTGCGAGTGTAGTCTGGGCTGGAGACGGGAGCTCCTGCGTACACATGTGACCAGAGTCGAGCCGTCTGTTTGAACATCTCTGGGTTCTGTTTATACTTCCAGACAGGAAATAAAGAATGTTAAAAGAGGAAGTGACCAATTCAGACTCAAAACATGCTTGTTTATATTAGCAAGTCATTTTATGTTTTTCTAGAAGAAAACGTGCGCGTGAGTGAAACTATGGTGGTATATATACACTACTCTTCAAAAGTCTGAGGTTGGTAAGACTTTTTAAAATGTTTTTGAAAGAAGTCTCTTCTGCATGTATTTGATCAAAAATGTTAAAAATGTGAAATATTATTACAATTTAAAATAGCTGTTTTCTATGTGAATATGTGTTAAACTGTAATATATTTCTGTGATGCGCAGCTGTATTTTCAGCATCATTACTCCAGTCTTCAGCGTCACATGATCTTCAGAAATCAGTATAATATGCTGCTGCTCAAGAAACATTTCTGATTATTATTAATGTTGAAAACAGTCGTGCTGCACAATATTTTTGTGGAAACTGTCATGCATTTTATTTTTCAGGATTCACAGATGAATAGAAAGTTCAAAAGAACTGCATTTAATTGAAACAGAAATATTTTGTGACATTATACAAGTCTTTACAGGCACTTTTGATCAGTTTAATGCATCCCTGCTTAATATCAATTTTCAAAAAAAAAAATAATAATAATTGAACGGCATAGTACATCTACATTACTGCATGGTTTTTTAAAATTCATAATCAAAATTCATCAACAGTACATCAGCACAGCATTCTTACTTTAAAATGTGCAGCGCACACAATAATTTAATTTAATCTTTGCCATTTAAAAATGTAATAATCACATTAGAATGCATCACAATTTCTTTTTTCCAGCCCTTTGTTACACTATTTATGATACAGAATGTAAGACTTTTTACTGCCTTAAATTTGATCAAACTAAAATTACATTTTTTAAGGGCCCTGAATGCTACACGAAAGCCATTTTTTCCACCACTTTTTGTTGCACATAGGGATGGGCGATGTCTTATAGTTTGCAAAATACCGGTAAAAATTCTCCCCACGATAAGAATTAGTCTTCCCGCGATAATAACGATAAAGTTTAGTTGCTGACATATTTCTGTGTGCGACAGTGCGGAAGGCGGACGTGAAATTGAGGAGGAGTTTATCGCTAAATGAGGAGCTCCTTCTACAATCTTGAACTGGTTTGGTCAGGGCTGTAAAAAAAATCGGTCTGAATAAATGTAGCAGAGTATTGCATGTGTATGAGCCTGTTTAAACCTGTTGTCCAACAAAGATATCATTTATTGACATGCTTTTTCTCCATAATCACATTAGAATGCATCACAATTTCTTTTTTCCAGCCCTTTGTTACACTATTTATGATACAGAATGTAAGACTTTTTACTGCCTTAAATTTGATCAAACTAAAATTACATTTTTTAAGGGCCCTGAATGCTACACGAAAGCCATTTTTTCCACCACTTTTTGTTGCACATAGGGATGGGCGATGTCTTATAGTTTGCAAAATACCGGTAAAAATTCTCCCCACGATAAGAATTAGTCTTCCCGCGATAATAACGATAAAGTTTAGTTGCTGACATATTTCTGTGTGCGACAGTGCGGAAGGCGGACGTGAAATTGAGGAGGAGTTTATCGCTAAATGAGGAGCTCCTTCTACAATCTTGAACTGGTTTGGTCAGGGCTGTAAAAAAAATCGGTCTGAATAAATGTAGCAGAGTATTGCATGTGTATGAGCCTGTTTAAACCTGTTGTCCAACAAAGATATCATTTATTGACATGCTTTTTCTCCAAATTAACTTAATAACATAGTCGAGTGTTTGAAATAACTTCTTTTGTGACCAGACGTGGTTTCATATTACAGAACGAGAGTGTACACAGTGATAAAGGCTATCGATTAGCACTGCATTATAAATATACTTTCCTTATAAAAAATACCCAAGATTGCTTGAAGAACACAGATAAACCATATATTTTGTGCAATCGTATGTTTATTGTCTTCAAGTTTTATCAGTTAAAATTTCTCTATCTCCGTTGTGCGTTTTATTCAGCGATAACTGATGCCTTTGTCAGTAGTATTATTTCCACGATGCATGTGTGGAGTTCCTGTGCAAGAGTGCCCTCCGGCTTCCGGTATGAATTAAACAGTCATTACATTATGCGTGTACTATGTGTGTATTATGTGTTACGTTTAGACTTGTGCTGGTATTCGGTAATGCGATATATCACGGTAATCTGACGATTCTGACATTTTTCTCAGAACTGCGAGTTTATTTCTTAAGATTTATAGCTCGCAATTTAGACTTTTTCTGTAATTCTGCGTCTATATCTTGCAATTTTGAGATATCAAGTCAGAATTGTAATATATAAACTAGAGATTAAACAATTTTGGGCCGAAACATTCAGGATGCACTTGGCTGAAAACTGAAAATGACTTTTTTAAAACGTATTATTTTTCTCAGAAAAGTGCATTGCACATTCACTATATTAACACTGAATGTCAAAAATAAATAAATACATAAACAAATAAACACATACATAAAGTATCATATTCCATTTAATTTGATTGTAGAATTGTTTTAATATTAAACATTTTAATGAATTTAAAATTAAATTAAAATGTCTAATATTAATACAATTAAAACCCAAGCACCAAAATAAAAAATATATTCAATAATCAATTAATTAATCAAATTTATTTAATTAGCACTCAAATAAACATTTTAATTGCACAGTTTTTATTGCAACTTTTTAATAACAGAATCATGTTTCTACTCCAGTTTTTTAATATAAATTAGAGATTCAATAAATTAAAATTTTGGGCCGAAACCGAACATTCAGGATGCACTTAGCCAAAAATTAAAAATGCATTTTTTTTTAAACTTGTTAATTTTTCTCAGAAAAGTGCCTTGCACATTCACTATATTAACACTGTATAAACATGTCACAAATAAATAAATAAATACATACATAAAATATTCTATTCCACTAAAAAAAATATTTAATTTTATTTGTATAATTGTATTAATATTAGACATTAATTTAAAATTAAATTCATTAAAATGTCTAATATTAATACAATGAAAACCCAAGCACCAAAATTAAAAATGTATTTAATAATCAATGAATTAATCAAATTTATTTAATCAGCACCCAAATCAAACGGAGTTAAACATTTTAATTGCACAGTTTTTATAACTTTTGAACAACAGAATCATGTTTCTACTCCAGTTTGTTGGTGAACTATAAACTTTTAAACGATGGCTGTAATAATTTGATTTCAAGACAAAGATACATTAAATAATGAAGACAACACTAACAGGTTAAGTACAAATATACTGAACACGTAATATAGTGTGTATATTCATCAAAATGCTGCCCTAGCTAAATAACGAGATATGGTCACTGAATGTCTTTCCTGAGGTTACAGAAATAAAAAATTGCTGTTCTGGACGAACATTTTTGGTAGCCGAAACTTTGGTGCATCCCTAATATAAACTCAGAATTGTGAGGGAAAAAAGCTTGAATTGTGAGATAAAAAGTCACAATTACCATATTTTTATGAAACGAGCTTCCATACAAATGCAATGTAAATTTGCGTGTATATTACTCACTTTATCAAAGCCCATCGCACAGAGTTTGTCTATTTTGCGAGTGTAGTCTGGGCTGGAGACGGGAGCTCCTGCGTACACATGTGACCAGAGTCGAGCCGTCTGTTTGAACATCTCTGGGTTCTGTTTATACTTCCAGACAGGAAATAAAGAATGTTAAAAGAGGAAGTGACCAATTCAGACTCAAAACATGCTTGTTTATATTAGCAAGTCATTTTATGTTTTTCTAGAAGAAAACGTGCGCGTGAGTGAAACTATGGTGGTATATATACACTACTCTTCAAAAGTCTGAGGTTGGTAAGACTTTTTAAAATGTTTTTGAAAGAAGTCTCTTCTGCATGTATTTGATCAAAAATGTTAAAAATGTGAAATATTATTACAATTTAAAATAGCTGTTTTCTATGTGAATATGTGTTAAAATGTAATGTATTTCTGTGATGCGCAGCTGTATTTTCAGCATCATTCCTCCAGTCTTACAGCGTCACATGATCTTCAGAAATCAGTATAATATGCTGCTGCTCAAGAAACATTTCTGATTATTATTAATGTTGAAAACAGTCGTGCTGCACAATATTTTTGTGGAAACTGTCATGCATTTTATTTTTCAGGATTCACAGATGAATAGAAAGTTCAAAAGAACTGCATTTAATTGAAACAGAAATATTTTGTGACATTATACAAGTCTTTACAGGCACTTTTGATCAGTTTAATGCATCCCTGCTTAATATCAATTTTCAAAAAAAAAAAATAATAATAATTGAACGGCATAGTACATCTACATTACTGCATGTTTTTTTTAAATTCATAATCAAAATTCATCAACAGTACATCAGCACAGCATTCTTACTTTAAAATGTGCAGCGCACACAATAATTTAATTTAATCTTTGCCATTTAAAAATGTAATAATCACATTAGAATGCATCACAATTTCTTTTTTCCAGCCCTTTGTTACACTATTTATGATACAGAATGTAAGACTTTTTACTGCCTTAAATTTGATCAAACTAAAATTACATTTTTTAAGGGCCCTGAATGCTACACGAAAGCCATTTTTTCCACCACTTTTTGTTGCACATAGGGATGGGCGATGTCTTATAGTTTGCAAAATACCGGTAAAAATTCTCCCCACGATAAGAATTAGTCTTCCCGCGATAATAACGATAAAGTTTAGTTGCTGACATATTTCTGTGTGCGACAGTGCGGAAGGCGGACGTGAAATTGAGGAGGAGTTTATCGCTAAATGAGGAGCTCCTTCTACAATCTTGAACTGGTTTGGTCAGGGCTGTAAAAAAAATCGGTCTGAATAAATGTAGCAGAGTATTGCATGTGTATGAGCCTGTTTAAACCTGTTGTCCAACAAAGATATCATTTATTGACATGCTTTTTCTCCAAATTAACTTAATAACATAGTCGAGTGTTTGAAATAACTTCTTTTGTGACCAGACGTGGTTTCATATTACAGAACGAGAGTGTACACAGTGATAAAGGCTATCGATTAGCACTGCATTATAAATATACTTTCCTTATAAAAAATACCCAAGATTGCTTGAAGAACACAGATAAACCATATATTTTGTGCAATCGTATGTTTATTGTCTTCAAGTTTTATCAGTTAAAATTTCTCTATCTCCGTTGTGCGTTTTATTCAGCGATAACTGATGCCTTTGTCAGTAGTATTATTTCCACGATGCATGTGTGGAGTTCCTGTGCAAGAGTGCCCTCCGGCTTCCGGTATGAATTAAACAGTCATTACATTATGCGTGTACTATGTGTGTATTATGTGTTACGTTTAGACTTGTGCTGGTATTCGGTAATGCGATATATCACGGTAATGAATATGCACGATATTGTTATCGTGGGCACTTCTAAATACCGTGAATAATTATATATTACAAATTATTCAGAATTTTGAATGCATTTTAAGAATACTTTTCCCATCAACTGGTCAAAATGCACAACACCGCTGCATGCTACGTGAGAGACGCGTGCACACTCTGATGTAAACAAGCGCGGACGAGAAGCACACGGCGGAGCACACGAGAGACGCTCTGGAGGAAAGCACACTTTCACTCTCTGACAGCAGATGAAGCTAAACTGCTGAAATAATAATAATAATAATAACAATAATTCATTTAAATGCAGCCGTTACCCCGAAAAACCTGTAAACAAAGCAGCTGCACTACTTTCTGTTTCTGAATCGTGTTTAAATTATTTAAACAGCCGTTCAGATTAGTGTATTTGCTCTGATGTTCATCACAGCGCCAAATACTCCAATATTTAGACTTAATAGGCTATTTATTTTCAATCTTTTTTTACATTTTAATCTGGACTACAACATGCCCTAGATATTGTTTGAAAGTGTTTTAATTCTTTATTGTTCGGTCACACTTTACATTAGAGCTTCATTAGTTAATTCATTAGTTAACAAACTGCCAATGAAAAATTATTCTGAACATTCATTAATCTTAGGTAATTACAATATTTAATAACAGGTTGTTAAAATCGAAAGTTGCAACTGTGTTATTTAATGAGCTAACATGAACTAAGACTTGTATTTTTTAAACAAAGATTAATAACTTCTGTAGCAA